GAGGCTGCCACGGGCCCGGCGGCCCTCCAGCCCCCCGGACCTGCTCGCACCGTTAATCACCGCATTCCCGTGCAGCGCTCCTGAAACTTTAATGGGTGTTAAAACGCTGGGTCCAGTCTGCCGTTTGAAGCCTCCCGTTTAATCCTCCGTCAGCTGCGGTTTCCCTATTCCCGTGTCCTCCCCGCAGTCCTGACAGCCCCCGGGCAGCTGCCTCCCTCGGCCGCCTCGCCCGCTGCTGGTTGGCATGCGCTCCCCGCTCTCCCTCAGCCCCTGCCCCTGCCACCCCTGCCTTCCCGAAGTGTTCCCCTGGCAGGCAATCCCTGCCTGCCTCCCTCCTGCATCCCCTCCAGGAGACACCTGCCTCTTCTGGACCCCTGAGAGCAGCCCTTGGCAGATGTTTTCCCTTGTACCTCGCTGTTGTTTTGCAGATTTATCAATATTTGTTATCATTAATTTCCTTTATTAATTAATCTTGGTGTAATTGTGCTTTCATGCTTTCCTATTAGGTGGCAATCTTGAACCTCCTCCTTGAACAGCATGGTGCGCGCTGGTTTGAAAGCTGCAGAGGAGCTACTGCAGATCTCCGAAAGTCCCCGGGAATAGCACCGCTAGTGAAAGGTTCGTACGGTGTGTGTGTGGGACACTGGTCCTGTGGTGCCTCTGCCCAACTGCAGAGTTGTGAAGCTTAGCCACAGCAGAAGGCCCTGGGGTTTCACATACTGCCTCAAGCGGGTTCGCAGGGCTTTTTTGGATGGCTTGGAGGCTTCTAGGTTCCCTGCCACCTGGAGAAACATGCCCTAGTGAGGTTGGGTTTGCACCCTGAAATACATGCGTTCTATTCCGTAAGCCTTTCTTCTTTGCTCATTTTATTCACCTTTTCTGTTGCTTTGCAAATCTCAATGTCCATGTTTTCGTAGGCAAACAGAGAGAAAACCGGATTCCAAGCTTGGGTTTTAAGGCAAGTGCTTTCTCAAGAAGGATGGGGTAATGATGGAGGTCTTTATTTTCAGCTTTCCTCACAAGCTAGATTGCAGGAGGCTTTGACATAATTTCCTTTAATATACTTTTTCTGTTTGTTGTCTGAGAACAGAAATTAATACCGTTTAGTCAAAATTTTAAATTTGTGTCATTGAAAAATTACTTCTGTTGGCAAGATGCTGAGTGGTCTTCTCTAGAATCTGGGTCCAATTTTGATTTATTTTGAGAAACTTGTACAACAAGTTTAAGATGCAGTTTTGTAGAGAAAGACTTGAGTAGAGACTTGTGCTCTCATAATAGCAAAGAGCATAAACTAATCTTTTATAGGACTCAAAAGATGTACATGAGTGCTTCTGAAAATGCAAGGTTTCTTCCAAGAATATTTTGTAATGTTGCAGATACCTCTGATTTATTTTGTCTTGTATTTTAAAACACTGCCACGTCCAAAGATGTGGAGAGGTGTTTGAGAGCGAGAATGGAAAAGTCAAGAGCGATTGGCAAGCTCATCTTTGTCTATATAAAACTTGAGCATTCCAGGTTATGGATGAAATGGCTTCCTTGCGGAAGGATTTGTGTGCCAGAAATTTTGGGAGCCAAGTGGTGCCTAGATCTCTCCCAGCTGGCACAAGTTTTCCCACCCAAAGGAAGGGGAGATTTCAGGTCCACGCTCTTTGCCAACTGCAGTAATCTGCGATGTTTCAAAAGTCCTTACCAAGTGCTGGTGATGTGAAGCGTATGGATAATCTTCTGGGCTTCCAAGGACTTAATGCACAGCTGCCCTACCTTGCTGAGGGATGTGATTGTAAATTATTGCACAGTCCTCTGTGGACTTTAATATTTATGATTTAATTTAAGAACGAGAACAAGTTTAAGGTAAACCACAGCGAGCCCCTCTTCAGCCAGGTAAATCTCTGCAGAGTGTTTTGCAGTAGATTAACCAGAGGAACACCTCTGGGGCTTGGCTGTAGGCATGGCTGAACTGAAGCCCAAAGACCAGTGTGTCCCCTTGTTCTGCGCTGAAGCGATTGCTCCCGGCCCAGCTCTGTCAATTGTTCCCCATACCAGCAGTGTGGCAGGAAGGGTTGCGCTTTGTTTGGTTTTGGTGTAACGCTTGACAAACCCGGTTGTCAACGGTGAAAGCAGCCTTACGTCAGTGGTCTTTTGGGAAGGTGTCAGACAGCTTCTTTCTCTCCCTACGCCTTGTCCCAGGGTCTTCCTGTCTGCCTGCACCTCTGCCCCCAGCTCTTCCCCCTTCCTCTGGGTTCTTGCCACCCTCTCAGTCTCCCTCACTTGCCGCTGGCTTTGGCAGCACTGATGCAGCCCAAGTCAAGTGAGCGTGGCAGGACTTACCTTGCCTGTGGGTGCTCCTTGCCAAGTAGGAGCTGCTGCTCTGCTAGTTCAGTTGGCACTCTGTGTTTTTTTTCCTCCCCTGCGTACAGCGTACATCAGTTCGCATAAATTTGGGGTTTAAATGGAACATATACTAAAAGAATGGCTTATTAAATATTTGGGAAGTCTCTATATTGCACCAAGTTGAACATATTAAGTTAAATAGGGGAAAACCAGTATCCCTGACAGTAGTAAACACAAGTGTTCAAGTAATTCTCTGCTGTCAGTTTTCATTATGCATCTCATCAGAGCGTGATTATTGCTGTTGTCGGTCTCTGTGGTGAGCGTCTAAGTCCCCACTTCCCTTCTGGAGGGCTTATAAAGAGAGAACTGGCTGGGAACACCATTTCTTGTTACGATTTGGATACGATCCTTTATTGTGTCTTTGGGCAGTTTTGCCTTGCATCGTTACCTAATTAAGGGTTGCCCCTGTTTCAAATAAACCCTGCTTGGTTTACTGTGCTTTGAGCTGCTCTATTGAAATATTTACTGAAGACTTCTATTATTTAAATTGCTCTAGGTAGGGAGTCATCTCACTTTTCAGGCCTGTTTCTCTTGGGCCACCTATTATTCGTGCCTTTTTCCTTGAAGGAGGACTGAAGTCTTCAGATGTGACAATCCGTTGAGAAATCAGCAGTGACTGTTGCCTATTAGTTCTAAAAAAAACCCAACCCAGCAAAAAAGAAACCCTATACTAATGTACTTTTCTGTTGAGGCTCATGACAATGGATGGTTGTGGAGTAGAGATGCATCTGACAGGTTGAAAAAAACGTCCCCTGCATGAGCTTGGTGCCATTTAAAAGGTCGTGTTTGAACCAGCTCTGTTCTCAGGGACCCTGGGAGAAGGGGATGCTGTTTCCCACCACGTTGCTTGAAGCACCAGGAGCAGCTCCGCCCACAACCTGGAGAGGGCAGGTTGTGTTGCAGGACAGTGAACAGCTCCTGTCACTTGTCACCTGCCGCCACCAGCTCAAGCAGGATGGGACCTGAGCTTTTGCTGATCCTCCAGGCGCAGCTAGGGCAGGAGAGGTTCCTTCCCTGTGATGCCCTGCAAAATGGCACTGTTGTGTTGAAAGCTGTGTTGAAAAAGCTGGGCCGTGTCTTTGTGTATAAACAGTCAATCTTGGAATAGTTAAAATGGAAGCTGAGGCGTCTGCTGCAGGTGTTTCCATCCTTTGTACCCTGCTGCGATAGTGTTTTGGGCTGTTGTGGGTTTTGTCACGTAAGGGCTTTATGCAAATTAAGTCTTACAAAGTTTGTCCTTGGGGGAAATGTGCCTGACAAAGTATTTTTTTGCTTTTAATTGTAGCATTCATCATGGGGGACATGAAAACCCCAGACTTTGATGACCTGTTGGCTGCTTTTGACATCCCTGATCCGACTAGCCTTGATGCCAAGGAGACCATCCCGTCAACGGGGGAGGAGAATGAGAATCACCTGAAGTCATCAGGCATCTGCATAGATGAGAATGCGTCCTTATCCCACTCTTTGCCGCCCTCTGATGCTCCTGTTGTGAGTGTGATAGTGAAGAACACGAGTCGCCAGGAGTCATTTGAAGCAGAAAAGGAGGGGAATCACCTTGGGACTGGTCTGCTACACAACGGGTTTCGTGGGTCCGATTTGCCATCAGAGGCTCACGCTTTAGTGCATAGTTATGGCAAATTTGAGTCAACTTTTATTAATGGTGACAGCTCAAGAAGTTACTCTGATAAACTGGAGCAGTCCAAGTCAGAGCCTTTGCCAACGTTTAGTCAGTTTAGCCCGATTTCCAGCCCCGAACCAGAGGACGCGTTCAAAGAGAACAGTATTGGTGATAAACCCAAACATGCCCAAACTCCTTATTTTCCACCGCCTTCAATGTATATACCGACAGGCGCTTCGGTACTAGATCATCTTAGGAAGGTACCAGAGCCTGAGTTAAGCATGTTTGATCAGTACTGCAAAAAGGATCAAAAGATGGAAACGCACTGCCAGCTGGAGAATAGGCTGGAAATGAGTAGGCGAGAACAAGACAAAGCAGCAGAGAGGTTTGTGGAGTCAAGCAAGGACTTGGTAGATACCAGTAGCTTTCTTGGAGAAGGCTTGGTGTTTGGAGACCTCCCTCACAATAATTTAGGAGAAAGTAAGGGGTCTGTGCCCGAGCTGAACCTGTCTTCGTCGGTACCGCCTCGCCAGAGGTTAAAGCCGACTCATTCAAAGTTGTCGTCCTGCGTTGCAGCGTTAGTAGCTCTTCAGGCCAAAAAGGTTGCAAGTATTCCAAAAGGTGATCAGCCAAATCTTACCAAGGAACCTGGTCCTTTTAAGGATGGGATGAAGGGAAGTCCAAAAATGCCCAAGTCGCCAAAGAGTCCCCGAAGCCCCTTAGAGGTGGTAAGGAAGGCCAGCAAGCAGCCTGAGAGTCCTCGAAGTGTGTGCAGTGACAGCAGTGGGAAAGGCTCTCCTTCCATGGCAGCTGGCTCTCCACCAGCTATTCCCAAAGTTAGAATAAAGACTATCAAGACATCCTCTGGTGAAATTAAAAGAACTGTAACTAGAATTTTGCCAGAAAACGATGAGTTGGGCAAATGTTCAGAAGAGTCACCTATGGAAACCTCATCTGCTGAAGAGTTTATCAAATCTTTCCCATCCCCTGACACTAGTGCAGTTATGGAAAGTGAGGCTAGCAAGAATTCAACCAAAAACGGGGCTGCTGTCGCTATCCAGCTGTCAAACGTAACAAGCCCTTACGCAGAAGCTATGAAAACAGATATTGCTGCCAACAGCACGTGTGCTGTGTCCTTATCTCCACTGCCAAACTGCGGTGGCGGTGCTGTGAAAGTAGGCGTTAAGAGGCAGCAGCAGGGTATCGTGATGCAGCCATCCAACGTGACCACCTCCAGCCTTCTTCCCAAAGCTGTGCACCTGGCAAATCTCAACTTGGTCCCCCATAGCGTTGCTGCTTCTGTTACAGCAAAGTCCTCTGCGCAGAGGCGAAGTCAGCCTCAGGTGACACAGATGTCTGTGCCGCTGGTGCACCAAGTCAAGAAAGCTGCTCCTGTCATCGTGGAGGCATTTAACAAAGTACTACACAGTGCCAATCCGGTGCCAATATATACTCCAAACCTTAGCCCTCCACCTGACACCAGTATTAATTTACCTGCCTCTGGGTATTGTTGCCTGGAATGTGGGGACTCGTTTGCCTTAGAGAAAAGCCTGACTCAACACTATAGTAGACGAAGTGTTCATATTGAAGTCATGTGCACTCAGTGTTCAACTATGCTACTTTTTTTTAATAAGTGTAGCTTGCTTAAACACGCAAGAGATCATAAGAGCAAAGGATTTATCATGCAGTGTTCTCAGCTGCTGATGAAACCAATTTCCTTAGACCAAATGTTTTCACCTTCTCCTACAAGCTCTTCAGCCTCTCTGGCTCCTCAGACTTTGCACTCGCCCTCTCCTTCGCGTAAGCCCAGTGCCACTTCAGGAGGTGTGGTAGGAATTTCTGCTAACACTCAGCCAGCCTTGCCTCTCTATACGGACCCGTTGAGACTAATCCGTCATGGACTTAAGTGTTTAGAGTGTAACAAGCAGGCACAGGATTACGTTGCTTTAGCAGCTCATTACCAGAGAACCTCAGAAGATAATGAGAGACTGGTAAGTCATCATTTTAATGTTATTAGTTAAATCTCTCTGAGTTTAAAGAGATTGTCCTCTGGGGGGAAAAAAGTAGGCATCGTAGTTGCAAATGGGTCACTTTGCCTAAAAAAGTGCTAGGGGGAAGGATTTGGGATGCGCGTGAGCCCCAGTGTGTGCATGCTTAGTGTTGCTTGCCTGCCCTCTTTTTACCCTTTGCTAGCAAAAAGAGGGTAGTAAGGAGACTGTAGAGATCCTTGAGCATCAGACAAAGGTGTTGGAGATCAAAGATCCTTTGGATGAGGCGTGCAAGAGTGCTGTAGGGGAGGACCAGTGGAACATTACCTGAAACAGGTTTTTGTGCTCTTAAGCATGGCTAGAGGAGGTCTGACACAATTTAACATTACCTTTCCTAGAACTTGTGCCAGAGTGTTCCGTGTAACACTTTGAATATCGAGTGCTGTTTCTACTGTTAGTGTGGTAAAGTGTGTATTGGGACAGGACTGGCTGAGAGGTGAGCAGTGCAGTATGTGGGGTGGAAGGCTGGTTTGAGCTATTTTTGCCCTTTGGGTGGGAGAGGGATGAGTTGGTGCCATGTTTCCCTAGGAGGGCTCAAGAGCCTTATTAGTGACTTCCTGCTTTGCTCCGGTGCTGCTCGGGTCTTGCCGCCTTTGCGAACCTCCCTTGTAGGTGCAGATGGGGGTCTGAATCCCCTTTGAAACTCCAGCTTAGGTTTCTGCTGATGAAGAGGAGGATATGCTCTTTGTTGTGTACCAGGACCATATGCTTTGTTTAAATTTTTTATTTTGGAAGATGTGGTCAGGCCTGTTTAAGTATAAACCAAGCTGAAGTTGAGCAGGAGGAGGAAGCTTTTCTCCTTGCCTCTTTAGATGAGGTGAAAGCTTTCCATGTCAGTCTGCTGGCAGGCTCCCAGTGCAGTGTCCTCCACAAACTCTGTGAACAAGGGCTCAGCGCCAACATGAGACATTCAGAGAGATGACCACCAGTTTCTGCCATGGCTGTCATAGTATGTGCATGCTCCAGAGCCTCCTTTTGCTTGTTAGGTGGCTTGCAGGAGTATTGGGGTCGCTGTGGTCCCGTTTAGATGCTTTGTTATCTTTCTCTTAAATTTATCAGCAGCAGGAAAAAATAGATTATGGCTGAATGGTTTTTATGTTGTGAAAAATGGTGAGGCCAGAAGGGATTGTCGTGGGCACGTAATCGGGTTTCTTGCCCGAGGCAGACCAACGAGCACTGTGCTCTGTCAACACTGTAACTTAGTTTTCAACTATAATGCATTTTTAGGAAATGTCAGCAGTCTGGAATTAAAACCTTCAGGTGATGGGATACAGTGAGTGCTCCAAAGTGAGCTAAAATGTTAATCAGTCACATTAAAAATGTATTTCCTATTTTTTGTTGTGGTATTATCAATTCAAGAGCTCCTTAAAGAGAGAAGGAATGTCTGATAGTAAGTATTTTTAGCTTGTAATCAAATAATTTATTCTGTAACTTAACGAAGAAAAGAGTCTTAAGTGTCTCGCTTCAAGTTAGGTCTGCTAGATGTGAGATTATTTTTGTAGCATTTTTCTGAATAGAAGGATTGAAAAGCTGGATAAAGAAGCGACATTAGAGCTTGTAAAACCATCTCCTCCCTGTTTGATCTTCCTATGCTCATTCTCAATGGGATGCACGTATTGCTCTGGGAGTCCTTTTCCACTGTATCTGCTGTCCTCCAGACTGCCTGGTGGTGCTCCATGCTGTTCCCAGAACATCTGTTTCAGCAAAGCTATTACATTTCTAAAGGAAATAAGAGGTTTTGCCCATATGCCTGTAATTGCATGACTCCAGATTTAGCAGTAGCTAGTGGAAACCATCCTTCTGCCTTCTAGCAGTACCCAGGGTATTTGGTGTCGCTGGGCTGTGAGGTAGAAGGATGGGTGAAATTCAGTGGTTGCATAGGTGTCTCTGCAGTAGGTGGGTACCACGCTCAGCTTCTCCGAGTGGTCCAAAGGAGAAGGTGTGGATTGTCTTGACATCACATGTCTCACTTGGCTAGCGCACTGCGTAGCTCCCATCAGTAACGAGGCATGAGAAGCTGAAGGTTTTGCATGTCAGGGGTGTTGATGAACGTAAGCAAGTCTGATATTAAACGTGGTGTGAGAAGGACATAGGTTAAGGCTGTTGGAGTATGCATCGTAAGCTCCTGAAGTAGGAAAACATGAACTGGCTGAACCCATTCTGAGAAGATGCTGTGGATATCCCTGCATTAATGAAGTTAATTTCTTGGGTTACTGTTTTTATATTGGTCAGAAAAAAAGAGGAATATTCATAGGAGTTGGAGATGATCAAGTGACTGATTTCAGAAACACTTTCTTATGTGGTAGATGTGGTTGAAAACTCTAGTTTCCATCTCCAGAGTTGTGCCAGGTCACTTGTTTTTGGGGGCAGTGGTAGAAATTGTGTTGCTGAGGAAGGCATCGATGTAACACCTGTATTCAACGTAATGGACCTTTTAGTGCCCCCAGTAGTGGATCAAAACTGTTATGTCCACGTGGCAGAAGGTGTTGATTTATATGCTGGTACTTCTAATTAAAAAAAAACCAAACCAAAACTGTACACAACTGGTAGTAGTGTACCCATGCTTGATCCAGAGTGTGCTGCTGTTGCAGGACAGTCTGCCAGGATGCAGAGGTGCTGCTAACAATCGTGGGCAAGCTCAGACATGAACTGTACCCCCAGACCTCAAGAGACTAATTCTCCAGTATTTGTCATAATTTTGTGCATTTGAGCAAAAAACAGTGTGTATTTCTGCCTCCATACGTGATGTTTTTCTCACTGTATTGAAACGTTGGTTTAGAAGCAACTTATGGGGTGGGGGTGGGTGGAGGGGGAGAGACTGTCATAATTTCTTAAAGCTAATGAAAAATTGCACTCTAGTATTTTGGAATTTTTTTTGTTATCTTTTAGTTACTTAATTCCAGAATTCAGACACAAACTCTTTACTATTCTTCCTCGAGAAAATAATGGAGTATCTTGATATTTTCTACATAAAGCTGTGGCTTGACTTTTAAAGAGCTTCAAGAGGTAGCAGGGCAGGTCCCCACTGTATTATGACGTAAAGCTTATCATCTGTGAGTATTAAATTGCCTGGTACCAGATTGTCCCAAAAGAGAGGATTCTTGGGAAAGATAGATGGATGTATAAGGAAAGAGCATCTTTGGCTTAAGATAAAGGTTAAAAGTGATTTACATGCAGCACCTGGATTTGTACTAGAAGATGGAGACCCCTGACCTATGAAAAATAAGCTGGGTTGATTTTTGATCAATGCTCTTAGAAGCTCTTCCATTAAATGACACCTAATCTGCATTGTTAACCATGACATGCACATCTAACGTGACCATACCTTGAGAAACCAAGCAGACTTTGAAGCGCTCAGTTATAGTGCTTTTAACTCAAAAAGCTTTTTAGACCTGATGCAGAATGGGTATGTCACCTTGTTAAGAAGGAAGGGTTGATCCAACAGGTTTGATGAAGAAAAGAAAAAGCAGGGAAAAGACTTGTTTTTCAATATGATGTTTTCAGTTATCCAGGAGCTGAAGGATGAGCAAGCTGCGGTAAGAGGCAGGAATGATTGGATTGGAGAGGGGGAACAGCCTAAGCTGGCTCTGCTCCATGAGAAAATTTATCCTGTGTTGATACTTAAGACTTCTCACTTTAATTGGAATTTCTTACCATGACTTTGTGAATTACTTTGACATCGTCATGATTCCCATAGCTGTTTAAAAGGTGATTGTTGGGTTTTCTGTTAATTTGTTCCAGTTGGTGGCTTGGGAAATACTTGGTCTTGTATTTCTGAATGGCCTTGGGTAAAGCCCATATTAATAGGACAGATAACAGGTAAATTACTTTCCTAGGTGTGGTGAAAATGAGAATGATATGGCTGGGTCACAGTTGGTTTAGAGGAAGGAAGAAAGATATGGATGTGGTCTGGACAGCAGGGAAAGGGGAGGATTCGGAGCAAGTGAGAGGAAGAGAGGGGGATGATGCTGTGGTTGAGAAGGTGGGGTGGAAAGACCTTTAGAAAAATGATTGAGCGCTTGACCTCCACATTTTAGACTTGTGGCAGCTACATGATTGCAGTTGTTCTAAGTACAACAGAGAGATTCTACCCGATTTATTCTTATAAAGAGTATTCATAAGGTGAAGGCAGTTTGGCTCGGACAAATACGACAGTGGGATCTCTGTGGCTTGCAGTGAGGATGCAGGCTTTGCAAATTGTGAGCTAATCTACCTCAAAAATAGAAAGAACTGGATTTACTGAATGTGTGTTTTGAGTGGATCATCTTAACGGATCTACAGTTACTTTGCCTTTTTTTTGAGACTAGCGAGGCCAATTTTGCAATTTTTGCAAGCTCATGAATTGATTCACTTGATGGGAGGTTTGTTACTTTTCAGTTGCAGAACTGCAAGAAGAAAGCAGTATGTGAATTTGAGTATCTGGTAGGTTGGATTTTGTTCAAACTAGAAGCTGTGCTGTATGTAGGCATTATGCTTGTCCAGATGTTCAAAAGGTGGTAGCAGATGTTTTGTGTAACTTCAGGTGTTTGGTCTGACTACAGTAGTGTTACATTCTAGAGCAAAATTGGGTTTGAGGGGGGGAAAAAAAAGGATAATTAAGTAGGTATAGTTTATGCCACATTAACCTGATACACATCTTCAATAATTTGGTTTTGGAGTAGATAAATGAGTAGATCCTAATATCCTTGATTTTCAGTGAGATGGTTTTAGAGTGCCATGTGGGGAATGGCTGTACTGAAGAAGCTGAATTATGAGGTTGGAGCAGAATCAGGTAAAAGGGAGCTAACTGGAACTGGGGACGGATTGCTTGGAAGACCTCCCGAGAGATGGCTTTAGGATACCTCTGCAGTTAACGTTTGTATTAAGGACCTTGGAGGATGAATGTGTAAATACAATTTGGTGAATAAACAGAGTAAGAAAACACGAAAAATTTGGAGTATGTTACAGGAGGACCTAGATGATCTTGAAGACCACGTAGGAATGGAATAAAGCAGCTGAAAAGCAGTGTGTGTGTGTTTGGTCATGAGGAGACTAAGAATGAGCAAGATGGCACAGCTGTGCACGGGATTTATGTTGACCTGCAGTACCAGTTGGGGTTGCATTAGTACTCCCTGTTGCTGCTAGAAATAACCTAGCTGGAGAAAGTGTATTGTTTTGTTTATCATGGATAAACTGGAATTGAGGGAAGAATGACCAGAGAAATGGAAAGATGATCTCTTGAGGGGAAATTAAAAAACCTTTATAAGTTTAGCTTGGCAAAGATCTGGTAAA